CAATGAGACAAACATGAATTTGCTATTTCAATTGAATGCATTACTTATATTCATAGTGAGTAGTAGTTGATTGGCCAGAATGTAAACAAAGTTAGAGGCATAAATAAATATTGTGCAGGAAATCAGTCTTCCCGCAGCGCATAATAAATGACATGTGGGCGCTTGACTCGAGCTATTCCGTCCAATTATATCAGCTCTCTCCTCAGCCTCACCACCCCCAGCGGGACTCGAGACATACCGACGGACGACGGTATGAAATGTGAAGAAGTTGCGAGCCGGTTGAATGGCCGGCTTTGGTTGGTGATTGGGCCGAGGTGAGGCGAGGCGAAGTGCAAATATCAATCGTGTTCTGCTGACCACAACCAACTCATCTTCTTCGTGATGACGACATCAAGCACAGCTGTACCGTCGGCCCTCGAGACGATGGCTTGTCCTCTTCGCGACGCCTCTTCCCAATCCTCGCATCATCGGAGGCATTATAGCTCCGCGTGCCCAAAAGCCCAAATTCCCAAATGCCCGAGTCGTCTGGGCCCCGAACCAGCCAAGTGTGGGCATGGCTGGGTCGAGGGAGGGGGGCCAACTGTGCACGTCGAGCAGATTCACTCGCGGCACACCCGCTCAGATGCTCTCGGTCGGACGAGCAAGGCCTGTGGGATCGGTTGCGATCAAACCACTTCACTTATTTCACTTTCTTCCATCGCCATTCGCCATTCGCCATTCGCCCTCTTGAGTCTCCCCCCCCCCACACACACACACACTCAAAGCCGCGGAAGAGGTTGCAGATGATGTGTTGACCTAACCGGACGCCGAGGGGGTCGGTGTGAAAGTGGGACTGGGTAGGGTGAGAAGTTATGAGAAAGGCGGGAAGGGGATGCGCAAAACAAACATGCGACTGCCTCGTCTGCAGGCCCGTCTTGCCAGATCGGCGTCTTCTGCCGCAATGTCAACTCAATTCAACTCCCCCGTCAGCCACACAACCACACAACCACACATCTCTTTAGGCCCGCGAATGTCCCACCATTAAAAGCCGACATGGCCGACATCATACACACACACACACACACACACACACACACACAGGCATACAGGAGGAGCAGACCAAAAGTTAGCCGGTTGCGCCTGGGCCCACTTAACTGTCGACATGCGACAGGTCGCGACGTGGGAATCACACGAGCCGCCGGGCTTCTTGTTTGTCCACGTGAGGACCGAGGGCTGAGAAGCGCCGAGTAATTCGGTAATGGCTTTCGCGCTTTGACTGACGCCTCTGCCTGGGCCTCGGAAGAGGGCCCCTTTTTTGATAATTAAAAAGTTTGACGGACAAACCCAGACTCCGTTTTAATCGTCCTTCTTTCATCCCTCGCTCACTCTTTTGGCTATGACGCAACACTTTGCCTTGTTCATGGACGAGGCCTGGCCAGTTTTGGCGGAATCTTCATTTTAGGCTTGCCACTCAAGCCGATTGCACAAGCTGGTACCGGATCCACGTGCAAGACATGTCCCCAATAAGCATTTGGCAATTTAAGGCTTCCTCGGGCCGAATGCAAATAATTTTGTCTATTATAATGAAAAATTTCGTTTTAACAAAAATCCTCCTCTTCATATAATATTGCTATAAAGGCATTTATCCAATAGAAGGATGATCTTTTGCCCATCATTCCGCTGCACATCTGAAGAAAAACTGGGTTTCCAATGCAATCTTGCTCTCATGATGTACAGTTTCATCGGGGTGGTAGGACGGAGAGTCGATGAATTCGTTGCACAATTCAACAGTTCTCTTTACGCGACAATCCTCCTTCAGTTTTCGATTTCCAGTAAGAACACATCACGAATACCTTCCAACCAACTTTCTCTCCGAAGTGCAGAGTCATGCCACAATATTCCACCACGGATTCTTGCAAAAGCTTCAAGTTAACGCCAGTCTTCTCTACATATTTCAGAGGCGCATGTGTCTGCACACACATGCATGCACATAAACACACACATACACATTATCGGTTTCCAGCCAAACCGGTCCTGACGTTATTTCAATGGTTTCACTAAAAGTCAATTAAAGCAATGTCTCTAAAAAAAACAATTCTTGCTTTCTGT